TGTCAATGAGTTCTGATAACCCACTACCATTGGACCAGCCCAAAACTCTTTTTAATTTAAATAAAGTTTATGGTACATAAATTATACCTAAACAAAGTTGATTTGTTATAAATTAAAAAAGCTCTTTAGAAAACTGACCTCAGCCCAGGCTACATAAGATTATCATAGATGATGCTCCTCTGAAGATGAGCTCACAATCCAAAATTACAAAATACTTGAGGACATAATATCATAAGTGTCAGTTACAACAAATGGCAGGATTATACCCCTAAAAACTTCAGATAACTGAACAATATGATAGAGGCTATAAATTAAATTTCTTTAAAATTATTATAGACACAAAATGAACTGAAAACAAGATACCATAAAAAATAGATTTGAGGCCAGGCACAGTGACTCATGCCTGTAATCCTAATACTCTGGGAGGCTGAGATGGGAGGATCACTTAAGGTTAGGAGTTTGAGCCCAGTCTGAGGAGCAACAATACCCCATCTCTACTAAAAATAGACAAAAAATTTGGTCAGGAGTTCAAAACCAGCCTGAGCAAGAGCGAGATCCCGTCTCTACTAAAAATAGAAAGAAATTAATTGGTCAACTAAAAATATATAGAAAAAATTAGCCGGGCATGGTGGCACATGCCTGTAATCCCAGCTACTCCGGAGGCTGAGGCAGAAGGATTGCTTGAGCCTAGGAGTTTGAGGTTGCTGTGAGCTAGGCTGATGCCATGGCACTCTAGTCCAGGCAACAGAATGAGACTCTGTCTCAAAAAAAAAAAAAAATTGAAAAAGAACCAAAGAGTTCTTCTAAGAAATGAAAAAGGTAGCTAATAAAAATAAGAACTCAGGCCGGGCGCGGTGGCTCACGCCTGTAATCCTAGCTCTTGGGAGGCCGAGGCGGGCGGATTGCTCAAGGTCAGGAGTTCGAAACCAGCCCTGAAGCAAGAGCGAGACCCGTCTCTACTATAAATAGAAAGAAATTAATTGCCAACTGATATATATATATATATAAAAAAAATAGCCGGCATGGTGGCGCATGCCTGTAGTCCCAGCTACTTGGGAGGCTGAGGCAGAAGGATCGCTCGAGCCAGGAGTTTGAGGTTGCTGTGAGCTAGGCTGATGCCACGGCACTCACTCTAGCCTGGGCAACAAAGCGAGACTCTGTCTCAAAAAATAAATAAATAAATAAATAAGAACTCAAAATGCAAATTAGACCTGAAAAGTAAATTTGTATGCCAGGAGATACATATAAGGAAATTACCTAGAGGTTAACAAAGAAAGATAGAGATGTAAATTATGAAAGAAAGAATAAGAGATGTGGAAGACAGAATAAGAACCTCCAACATCAGTTTAATATGAGATCTTGGGAGAGGCACTATTTAAAGAGATGGCAACTGGGAATTTCTACAAAACTGAAAGATACAAAATCTCTGTTTGGATATCCATGGAAAAATAAAATAAATTCACACCATGTAATAAACACTGAACACAAATAACACAAGAAGATCTTAAAACAACAGAGAGAAAGACAGTTACCTACAATAAAATAGTTAAATTAAACATAGTTCTCCAGTTGATCTTAGCCAAATGACAGAGAAGCAATGAGCATAGTTCACAAGAGTAACAACAAAAACCAGAATTCAATAAAATAACATTTCTTCTTTCTTTCTCTCTTCTCCTCTCTCTCTCTCTCTCTCTCTCTCTCTCTCTCTCTTCTCTCTTTCTTATACAGAGTCTCGCTTTGTTGCCCAGGCTAGAGTGCAGTGGTGTCACCCTAGGTCACAGCAACCTCAAACTCCTGGGCTAAAGCGATCCTCCTGCCTCAGCCTCCAGAGTAGCTGGGGCTACAGGCATGTGCCACCATGCCTGGCTTATTTTTTCTATATATATTATTGGCCAATTAATTTATTTCTATTTATACTAGAGACGGGGTCTCTACTATAAATAGAAATTAATTGGCCAACTAAAAATATATAGAAAAATAAACCAGGCATGGTGGCGCATGCCTGTAGTCCCAGCTACTCAGGAGGCTGAGGCAGGAGGATCGCTTGAGCCCAGGAGTTTGAGGTTGCTGTGAGCTAGGCTGATGCCACAGCATTGTAGCCCGGGCAACATAGTGAGACTCTGTCTCAGGAAAAAAAAAAAAGAAACAAACAGCAAACATATATGGGTGAAACAAAATAATCACTAACAGCACAAAACAAAAATTATCATTAATTAGAATTGTTCCAACATTGAGATGGATTAATTCTGGGAATTGTCTCATTCTTGGAAGTACTCATTTTGAGTCTAGACAACAACTTTTGATATGTTTAGTGTAAGAGGCTGAATTAAATGACCCTCAGGATACGTTCTGACCATAGGGTTTTATCAATTAGACACAGCTTTCAAAACAGCCCCTGATTAACTCTGTTCCAGAATCTGAGGCAGGGCTTGGCCCTCATCCTAAGTTCTAGAACTCAAGGCTTAGTTCAGGGCATTCTTCCCACTCCCATATTCCAAAAGTAAAAAAGAACATTCTAAATAGAAATGTTTCTTAATGAGCTTTCAGGTAAGATCTTCTAGCTTTTGAGGAGTACAGATTTTGGCTGTGGACTTGGATTGAGGCATTACAATTAGTCATCATTTGCTTGATGGGCCAAGAAAAGAGTACTTTGGAAGCTTTACAGAGAAATATGTGCTTCTTCCTCTAAAAGAGAAAATGCCACACAGAAATAGAGAGGGAGATCAGGATGTGGAAGAATTTGCAGGAAAAAAAATTTTTAAAAAGAAAGAAAAGAAACAGGGAGGGAACACATACACCCATCCTTGCTGACTGAAAGCTACCTTACTTGATTTGAATGCTCAGGCCAGGTTCCCACATATTCGCAGCAGTAAAGATCTCCACAAGATAGAGAGCCCCACCTCACATACTATCAAAGATTTCTGCCCACCACAGAGTAATACACTTGACAACTCAGAACTTTGGAAACAAAAGACCAGGCAACAGATACTAGAGAGAGGAAAGCATCGATTAAAGCAAGTAAATACAGGCTGGGCACAGTGGCTCACGCCTGTAATCCTAGCACTCTGGGAGGCAGAGGCAGGTGGATTGCTTGGGGTCAGGAGTTCGAAATCAGCCTGAGCAAGAGCGAGACCCTGTCTCTACTATAAATAGAAAGAAATTAATTGGCCAACCAATATATGTAGAAAAAATTAGCTGGGCATGGTGGCACATGCCTGTAGTCCCAGCTACTCTGGAGGCTGAGGCAGCAGGATTTCTTGAGCCCAGGAATTTGAGGTTGCTGTGAGCTAGGCTGACGTCACATCACTCACTCTAGCCTGGGCAACAAAGTGAGACTCTGTCTCAAAAAAAAAAAAAAAAAAAAAAAAAAAGAAAATGAAGAAAAAAGCGAGTAAATACAATTACATTTTCAGGAGGCAGTGCCATTCCAGAAAAGAAGTTAGCTTTATTTGTTTTTTTTCTTTTGTATTTTTTTAAAACTTATTTTTATTTAAAAAAAATTTTTTTAGAGATAGGGATCTCACTTTGTTGCCCAGGCTGTAGTGCAGTGTCTCCATTCTAGCTCACTGCAACCTTGAATTTCCAGGCTCAAACAATCTTCCTCACTCTGCGCCTCTCAAATAGCTATGACTACAGGCACTCGCCACCATGCCCAGCTAACTTAAAAATATATATATATTTTAGAGACAGTGTCTCACGATGTTGCTCTGGAGGGTCTCAAACTTCTGGCCTCAAGCCATCCTCTTGCCTTAGCCTCTGGAGTTGCTGGGTACAGGTGTGAGCCACCACACCTGGCAGGGTTTGCTTATTACTGAGGTTCAAAAGCTACTAAATGAAGATGGGTAAGACAGACTCCTATCCCCTTTCCAGCCCAAGAAAACACATCATTCTAAAATATTAATATACATTAATGGTCATGACATGTCTCAAATCCCACATAGCCATCAGGATACAGTGACAAAAAACAGTCTCTCATTATCTACAAAGGCAGACAAACAGAGACTCTTAGAGCACCAGATGACAAGTGCTACCTCAGAGGTAAGCAAAAGAGGTATCCAGAGGAGGAACCATCAACCCCGTTGAGCTCTCTCTCACCCACAACCTTCACACAGTCACATCATTTGTAGTCATAAATTTGTACTTTCTAAGGTGCTTGCATGAAACACCTTAGCTAATTTGATCCTCACAACAACCCCAGTAAGTACATTAGGCAGGTAAGATCATTGTTTACATATTTGAAAAGTGAAGCTGAAAATAAATTAAGTGACCAGTTCAACACAACGAGCACCCTCACAAGCCCCTCCCCCGTCCTCATTTATGCCCAACCCTCAAAACCCCCAGTATAGCCAACCTCGCACTAGCTATGTAAGCATGGCCAAGTTAAACACTAAAACCTCAAGGTCCCCATCTTTAATAAGGCTGTTAGAAGATTAAAAAGTTGAGCTTTATGAAAGGTGTAGCACAATGCCAGATACGTAGCTGGTGCTTGGAAAATGTTTACTACTGTACTACTATAACTACTACTGCTATTGTTCATAATAATAGGCGAGGACTTTCCATTACAGGACCCCTCAAGTTACAAGGCTGTCATGAAATTGCACTACCCGCTACCACCGACGTCCTCAGACATAAATCCACGGACACGCCCCCAAACAGACCCTCCCCCTCAGACACCCCAGCTCCTCCCCCTAGATGTGCCCTTCTCCTTACAAACCTTACCCCCATAGACTCTCCCCTTTCTGACTGTTACGAAGGAGGCTTTCCGCTCGTACCGGCCTCTCCAGCAACCCCTTTAGGCCTGGGCATCCCTGCGGGCGTCCAGACCACACGCCAGCCGCGGGCCCGCGCCGGTTACCTGGCCGCGAGCTCCCGCTTCGCCTAGTGATTCCCCTGGATCGCACACCTCGTCGCGGGCTCGCGCCGGTGCTGTGAGCGCACAATTAATTTAAACTATGGCCCCACCCCCTCGCACCGCCCTCTGATTGGCCCCTATCGGCTGTTGTCGTACGTAGGGCACGCTTGAGGACCCGGGAAAAGGAAGTGTGAGGGCCACTGGGAAGGGAGAGGGGTTTCACTATTTCCGGACAATGGCCTGACCATGAAGGCAAAAGGAACTTCAAATCCCAGCACCACCCGCGGCCTTGTAGCCCCGCCCCGAGGAACTACAGGTCCCGGTAGGCATCGCGGCAGCACTTACGGCGCTGGCCGGGACGTGGTGACGAAGACAGTTGCCATGGAGTTACTCCGAGTAACCCTGAGATAGTGTGACGCTAAGGCTGGAGAGAAAGCAACTGCTGGTAAGTAGGGCGGAAAAACCGGAAACCTGCTGTAGGGAACAAGAGCTCTGTGGAGAGGGAAAGGGCACCATGGAAAGACTAGAAACTTCTCTACTCACCAGACCTGAGATCTCCACCCCCTAACCCTCACCCCTTTTCACAGTGAACAAGTCACAACACCCATGTGGGGACAGTGAACGGGAAGGCTGCAGGAGATAGATACCCATACAGATTTGGGATTGCTTAAGAGCCTCCCCCAACGCAAACATGGGACCCCCAAATACGGATACCTCAAGTCCCAGACACACCTTGGGAAATCGGAAACGCCCTCAAACATGGGGTTGGTTTTCCTCTGAGGAACTGAGACCCTCTTCAAGACAAGGGAGTAGCATTAGAGTAAATCACAGTCCTAAATTCTGAAGATGTAGGCAACTTTATGGGGCTTGAAGTGCCTCTTTTCTTCCTCTTCCAAGACAGAAGACCCCCTCTCAGAGACTCTGCAGGATTCTCCCTCACATACTCATTAAGAATACTGTCCCTAAATTACCTTTTCTCCCTACACCTCCTCCGTGGTCTGCTTCTCGAAGCTCTCTGCTTCTTTTCAAGCTTCATTCCTTGTACTGTCCTTGTGACAGATCTGTTACATTTAGCAACTTATCCAGCGCTTTCACTGTCTTTTGATAACATGACAGCTCTGAGTGAAGGATATTTATCCCCATTTCATAGATTGGAAAACTGAAACCCAGAGAGGAGAAGTGACTTGTCCAAGGCCACACACTAAATCAGTGACAGAGCTAGAACTAGACCCCAGTTCCCCAACTTCCAACCAAGTCTCTTTAGCTTGAGCTTGCTACCTCTATAGCTTTTGTACTGTTTGGAGGAAATAGGTTAAACTGCCCCAGGGAAGGGGAACCTGTGTTGCCTATTTTGGGTTATTTACACTTAAGCCTGAATAAATTTCAAGTCCTTCTGTGAAAGTTTTAATGGGGAGAAGGAACTAGAGAGACTGAAGACAGTGGGAATTGAACATTTTAAATAAATTAAACAGAAAGCAATCTGGCTAACATGGCACCCATGTATGAAGCTGCCTTGATCAGTTGGCTTGTGGCTGGCCGCTACCTGGCCTTGATTGGTTCACTGACTATCTCACAGTTCTTCCAGGGTTGTTCCTATGCCTGCTTCCTGCCATAGTCTATATTCTCCACTTGAGTACTCTTATCCATACCACAACTTCATTTACCAACTGCATGCAGATATACACAAGTGTGTATCTCCAGCCCAGCCCTCATCTTTGACCTCCAGATATGTATAGCCAGTTGCCACCAAGACATCTCCTTCAGGATATCTCAAAGGCAATGCAAACTCAACATTTCAGAAACTGAACTCATAATTTCTATGCACTCCAACCCTTTGCTCCAAGCCTGGATCTCTTCCAATGTTCCCACCTTTATCCACAATATTCACAAGCCAAAACCCTGAGAGTTATCCTTAATACATCTCTTTCCCATGGATCATGAAGTCCTGCCAGCTTAACTTCCTGTTTCACCTAGTCATCACATCTTTCTTGCCTTCCCTCCTAGCCATTTTAAATACTGTGGAAGTAATCCATCCAAATGCAAATCTGATATTGTTCACTCTCCCCACCCACCTTCCATTTAAATATATACTTTGTGGCTTCCTATTGCTCCCATATCTCCAGACTCTAGTCTAACCATACATCCTCCTTCTCTTTCAAGTACCCTCCCACCACAGAACCTTTGCATATAGCTGTTACTTCTGCCTGGAATGCTCATCTTTGCCCCTTGCTATGGCTAATTTATACTTATCCTTTAGATTTCTCTCAATCACTTCTTTAGGAAGTAATTCCTGAAGACTATTGCTCAGCAACCTCATGTCCCTCTCCTTTATACTGTTATTCAGTTGCAATTTTTTATATATTTGTTAAGCACCTACTACTTGCCACCACTATGAGATACAACTATGAGAAAAACATAGTTCCTGCCCTGGTGGAGTTTATGGACATATAAATAGTAAGAAGATAATTTCAGGGCAACATAGTGAGACCCTGTCTGTATAAAAATTAACAAAAAAATTAAATGAATAAATTAGCCAAGTATGGTAGTGCATGCCTGTAGTCCCAGCTACTTGGGAGGCTGAGCCAGAAAGATGGCTTGAGTCCAGGAATTCAAGGTTACAGTGAGCTTTGGTCATGCCACTGTATTCCAACCTGGGCAACATAGCAAGACCCTGTCCCTAAAAAAACAAAAGAAGAAGAAAAGTTGAAACCTGAGCTGAGCCCTGAGGTAAGAATTAGCAAGGCAAAGGAAGGAAGAAACTATATTTCAAGCAGAGAAAGCTGGAAGGAGAAACTGTTCCAGACGCCCAGAGGCAGGTGCAGGGAACTTACTGTGAGTAGTTGCACTTGGCTGGACGGCAGAATTGGAGGTGAGGATAAGAAATGGGAGTAGAGAGGTGGGCAGGATCCAGGCTGAATCTTGGCCTCCCTTTGAAACCTAGGAATATAACCTCCCAGAATATATTATTATATTATGTGGCAGATTTTTCATGGCATTTGATTTTTCTTCCACCTGTAGCCAATAAACAGAAACTCTCTAGGCTAAGCTGTTGAATCTCCTATCAGATCTTATCTGATTATTCCTCAAAGCTTCCTGTGCCATCATGTTTCTGCTTGCCTGAGAGAGGGCAGGAATAGGCTAGCTACAAATCAAATTCCAGTTGTTAGTAATTTCCAAAAACTGAAAACAAATTTCTGCCAATTTGGGATTGGTTAAAGTTAAATTAAGTAAATAATGTTAAAGTATGATACGTACTATGGAATACTCTGCAGCCATTAAAAGGGTAAGGGAGTATACAACACTTTGGAAAGAAAAAAATAGGGTTATAAAGGAATAGACAGTATTTTAAAATATATATACATAATCTTATTATATATCACATTCTAGGTTATATTCCCAAACTGTTAATGGAGATTCAGACTTTCAGTTTCTACTTGATATACTTGTTTATGTTTGATTTTATTCAGCTATCATGTTAACTATTACAATAAAAAAAAGGCAATTAAAAATATTTAGCTGTTTGGAAAAGAAAAATTCAGTTGGAATTTTGGAATTCCAAAACAAGGCAGGTATGCCCCTAACCCTGTCATTCATCAGGTCAGGTCATTCAGTCTGGAGTGGTAAACGTGCTGAGATCTGTCTCCTGGTTATAAGCCAGAATAGCAGCTGGGAAAGACTGACTCCAAAAACACAGCCACAGGAGCGAGCAAGGCAACATTAAGCCTTTGTCACTTCTCCCTAGCTGTCAGGTACTCTATGTCTTTGGTCTCCAACCCCCAGGCTGTGGACTGGTACTGGGCCACACAATGAGCACCAAGCAGTGGGCAGTAAGCCGTAGGCAAATGAGCGAAGCTTCATCTGTATTTACTGTCACTCCCCATAGCTCACCATCATTGCCTCCACACCCCTGTCTGTGAAAACACTGTCTTCTATAAAACCAGTCCCTAATGCCATAAAGATTGGAGACAGCTGCAACAGCTTGAAGACACCATTTATTCCTTCATTTCTCCTTTCATTTTTCTATTTATTAATTTGTCCATCAAGCCTTTAGTGAATATGCATCTTTGCCAGGTTCCATGTAGTGTAATGGTGGACAGAAAGAAGAAGTCTGACTTCTTGTCCCTGTCCTCAAACTTGCAGGGAGGGAAATATAAAGTAGGTTATAAAGAAATGAGTACAGAGAGAACTGCTTCCATTTACGGAGCATCTGCTGCAGGATATACAGCAGTTCTCATGGTAGGATTTATCTCCATTTCACAGATGAGAAAACAGGCTGCGAAAAAGTTTTGTTCAAAGTACAGTGGGGGGTATGCATCAGTTAGCTATTGCTGTGTAACAAACCATGCAGACACAGTGGCTTAAAACAATAAGCATTTATTATTGCTTCTAAATTTTTGAGTCACCTGGATGGTTCTTCCCGTCTTGACTGGGCTCACTCATGTGGGTTGGGTGACTCTTCTGATCTTCACTGGTAGTAGGCTGACTGTAGGCTAATCTAAGATGGCCTCAGCTGGGATCACTGGTTCTCTTTCATATGTCTCTTACCTGCACATCTGTCATATCCCTCCAGCAGGCCAGCCATGTTCTCATGGCATTGGCAAAGAGCAAGAGGGCAAGCCCCCTCTTAAAGCTTCTGTTTGCTTCATGTTTATCAACATTCCACTGGCCAAAACAAGTCATGTGGCTGAGCCCAGCATCAGAGTGGGATGGAACTACAAAGTTATATGCAAAAAGGGATGGACACAGGAAAGACCATTAATAGGGATCATCAAAGCAATCAATCTAACATAGGGCGCATTGGTCAATTTTATCTGGAAAAGAAAGGCTTTATATTCCAAGCTTGCATGGTTGTTGAAAAAGAAAATAATTATAATTTATTAATAAATGAAATATTTTTAAAAGGCTTTATAGAGGAGGGTACACTAGAGCTGAGTGTGGAAACATGAGAGTATTCACTAAGTGGGCAGCTGTTAGTTTGGAACTGGATGCAGGCTGGTTTGCCACAATCAATAGAAACCCAGCAGTTCTTTCTGTGCTCATGACAGGGTTCTATTATTTGTATCTTGGCTTCATTCCTTCTGGTCAAGCACAGGGCAGCAGGCACTCAACAAATGTTTGCAGAATTGAACTGAATATCTTACTGTGAATGAGGTGTGGACTGAAACAGCTGAACCTGGAACCAATTGTTAGAACAGCTTAGCATCAACTCTCCCAAAACAGAAATCATCTTACTTGGCAGTTTCTCATTCATTCATCCCACAAACATTTCCTGAGTACCTGCTGTAAACCAGTTTCTGTGTTAAATAAGACATGATAGCCGGGCGCGGTGGCTCACGCCTGTAATCCTAGCACTCTGGGAGGCCGAGGCGGGTGGATTGCTCGAGGTCAGGAGTTCAAAACCAGCCTGAGCGAAGGGAGACCCGTCTCTACTATAAATGAAAGAAA